AATCAGCTAAGATGATGGGGAAGAAGGCAGTGGCGTACAATGACTTTGATGCTTTTTCTTCGATATTTCCTCTTTCTTCTTTCTTTTATTTTCTTTCCTCTTTATCCTTTCATTTCTTCCCTCAATTAAAGTGATTTGACTTTTCACACTAGCAAACCGCGTACACGTTTCTTCACCTAAATCAGCATTTTTTTTAAAGGTTTTTTAAAAAGATTTTTCTAACAGGACATAAATACTTTTATTATCAATTTATTTAAAAGCATATAAAATTAAATATTAATTTTAATATTATTGATATATAAATATATTTAATTAAATAATTAATAAATTAAATATTATTTTTTATTATTTTGCATCTTATGTCCAATAATTTCGGGTCTCAGAATTATAAAATACTAAGTTAATCCCTCACATTCAACAACTTGTTATCAGCAACCCTTAGTCTTTTCATTACTAAATTGCTAATATCCATAAAAGAAGAAAAAGAAGAGTTGGGACACACGGTATTTAACATTTTGAAAACTCTATATCCTACATAAAATTATAAAGAAATGGTCATAAAACAATATAACAGTAGCATACCTCAAGAGATATAGCACCCGTCACTCCAGGTTATATGAATGCAAGACCTTCCTAGTGCTGCAAACCAAGGATCATCTCTTCTACAAATAGAAACCAGGAAAAACTACTTGTGATGTATAGTTACAAAAGTTCAAAGAAAGGCGATATGCAAAATCATATTTACAACAGGATGTTTCATATATAAGAAAAAGAAATGCTGAGAATGAAAAAGAATAAATTGTTTCAATTCTTACCTCTTGGGGTTACAAAAAAACTATTTTGAATAAATAAATGATTTTTCTTTCTTTCTTTTTTCTTTTAGGAACATAATTGAATTAATAGTTGGCTCTTTCTAAAATATGAACATTACATTGAGTAGGCTTAGATCAACTGAATATACACTAGTTGCTAACCCAAAAATTGGGTCTAATTATAAAATGCCTATCGAAAAAATACCTATTTTTGACGACCAGTGACACAAATAGCAAAATAGCCTAACAATTTCATCATGAAAAGACTATCCAGCATCAATAACAAATGGAGAAGGTGACATTTCCACAGCACAAACCATAACAGGAAAATTAGCAAACCTTTGCAAGTATTGATGCGTTAACTCTCCACTGGTGATGGCTCCTTCAAAGAAAGAGGGATCAAATCCAAGGCTCTTCATTTTGGTCATTGTTGTTGATGCACGTCTTGATGAATTTCTAATAATCACCATCTCGGTGCCATTGGTTGCCAATTTTTCTACTGTCAAGCCAAGAAAAAAATTATTTATCTTAAGAATAAAAATCATTAGCATATCACCATCAGAAAAAGCAAACACTTCTTTGCACTGAAAAGCTTACCAAAATGGTAAAACTCACAAATGGGAACATGCACGTTGAAATTGCACAAGGATAAGGTTGTTTGCCATTGTGAAGGACTCCGAATTGATCTAAGAACCAGGCCTGCGCATACAACAGAACAACCAACTAAATGAATGCCAGTAAATGAAAATGCACATACTAAAAACCATAATATGAGGCATGATACAAAAGCATAAATTCACCAAACAATAACCTACATTATGAGAAAGACAGTCCAAGATTTTTGTTTAATGGGGCAATCCTATAAATAAAGTAAAATTTTTGCGAGAAAAAAGCAAGATTTTGCTTAAATATTAGGCAATTCGTTAAGCATTTTCCTTTTGTGATGTTCCAGTAAGGATAGTTGCCCGTCCCTTTGAGTCAATTTTGTACTTAGACTAAAAATTTTCAATTTCATTGATAAAAGGCCTTTCTTTAGTGCAATGGCAAAAGATCAAAATTTCACCAGCTAACAAAAAAAATTAGG